ACCCCGCTCCGCCCCGCCCCGCCCCGCCTGGCTGGCTGGCTGGGTAGGCAGCCACGCCGACACAAATTGGCCCCCGCCTCGTCCGCTCTGTGCTCCGCTTGTTATTCCGAGACGCGATGGCGAGCGGCGCGAGCGCCCCGTGTACGTCGCCAAACAGCGCCGCGCCACACTACAAAGGAAGTGGGGGCCTATGAACCGAAAAGCGAACGTCTATTGTCGGGCGGGGCGCGGAGGAGAGAGATAGGCGGGGCGGGGCGGGGCGAGGCGGGGCGCACTGAGAAAAATGTTTAGATGCTGGCACTGAAGTTCATTTGATCGATCCGACCCGTTAGCAGTCTACGAAAGGTTTGGTTCCAAGCAACAAACATTTTTATGTAAATGTCCAAACGGTTTCTTCCTCGACACGAAACGTGTTTGAGTGGTGCATCCCAAAAATTTCAATGAGGCAACCGAACTCCCTCCAATTGTCACAACAGAGAGGGTTTGTTCGGGAATTTCTACGAATTTTTGAATGACGTAGTGGAAACGATTTACGAAGGTGTGCGCCTAAGTGTATTTGGCCGGACTGAAAATCGTCCAAGTCCGCAAAGCGACACTCAGTTGAAGGAATGAGCAGACTCGTGTTGCGCAGGCCGGACGGCAGATGCCGTGATGGCTCAGTGGTCTCCGTTCCTGGCGGCTGGATAGTAAGTCGGGTCTGGCAGGGGTTCGAATCCCGGCCGGAGCGTAACCAGTTTCTCCCGGCACTTAGGCACTGAATTGTTCTTCTTGAAATTTGAATGATGCCCGGGAGATGGACTGATGTTTGTTAAACCAATATCGGAAAAGGGAGGAGCCTTGCGACATTTTTAGAGCTCCAAAGTACTTCATTGCTGGTAACTAAGTAATTTAGTTCTGGTGATCAAACAATTCGATGTCACTGATCAAACCTACATCGTACCCACGAGTAATTAGTTTTATTACTGGCATGAAGGTATTCGATACTGGTGATGAAACAGTGGTGATGAAACGACTTTCGATGTCCTAACTAAACGTTTGATCAGTCGATATATCATTAAACAAGTTTAGATGCCACAATCAAAATTTTAGTTGCTGCATCAAAACATTTTTCTCAGTGCGGGGCGGGCCACAATGGGACACACACATGGGCCCGCTCCCAGGCGCTAAGGCTCTGGCCGGCGCCGCGGCGGCCTCGAGGGGGTTTGAATGGCGGAGTGGCAACGGCGACGAAAGCATCAAGAGTATTTGCCCCGGCCTCGGCGGCGACGACACGCGCACACGAGCATTAAACACAGCTCAACGGAAAAGACGCGACATTTCTCGAGATTTTATTTTTGGGAAATTAAATTGGCGCGACTGGGTTTAAACATGTGGCTGCACTGAGCACGCGTGTGTTGTAAAGTTACCGCGATCGCGATAGATAGCAAACTTACAGGCTGCTGCTGCTCTGAGCCTTGGCAAGGCTGTGCCGTGGTGCGCAGTGCGCATTAGCCCCGAGTCTAGCAGCCCCACCCCGTCAGTGTCAGAAACACTCCGCCCTACGCTGCCCTCTGCCCTGCGCGCGTCCGACCGCTTGCTGACCCTGCCGCCGGCCCGCCGCGCAAATACGGAGTGATGACGCAGCAACAACAAGCAAAGTACGAAGGTGCTCCATACGCAGCGGGCGGACACCGCCACCGACAAGCACGACCTTGGCGAAGAGCGGGGAGGCACAACCTGGGGCGGGAGCACCCAGGTGTGCCAACGTCCACCGCCCACCCTGTTTGGGCGCAAACACATTCTCTCTCTCTCTCTCTCTCTCTCTCTCTCTCTCTCTCTCACACACACACACTTAGAGAGGCTTACTCACTGCAGACGCGCGCGATCGCATCGGTCCGACAGTAACATATTCACACAAAAGAAACACAGCGAAGTGGACGTAATGCCGGTGTGTGTCCCTCCTCCGCCTGCCGTTCGTACCTGGCGGACATACACACACCAACGAACCCTCTCACCGGGCCTACTGCCACC